GAGCGAGAGAAAGTTTTTCTTACAAAACCTTTCATTATTGAATCATGATATATACCTACATAGAAACAATTAGGGGATTCCGTTCAACTCGTAAAGTCTTAAACTGTATAAAGCTCGCAAGTTGAAGAGGCTTTTATGGGAACGCCCCCTTTGTGAAAATGTGTAAATAAGCGCGTAAAGCGACTGTTTGACAGATCAACCAGGATTTTGTGAAGCAACATTTGTTTCGTAGTATTTTCCATAAAACCCCGCCATCTTGTCTCTATCACTCTTGGCTAAAAAAAAACAATTAAAAATTCCGAAAATCAGCAGAAAACCCACGTTAGTACAGCTTTCTGAAAACAAATTTTATGCGACTGGCAAGAATATCCAAAACTAGCTTTTGTATCAAAATTTTGACAAATGAAGTAAACGTTACGTTACGACCTTTTTTACACGTAAAGTATATTTTTCGTCCGAACGTTGAAAAAAGGCACAATTTGTAATTTAACTTTAGACGGTTCCTAATATATTTTTACGTTGTTTTTGTTGTAAGACTTACGGAACATAAGCTATACTAAATTTTAGAATAGAGTTCCATAAGGTATGGTTTCTCCGAAAAATTTTTTGAAAGTGTAGTTGGAAGACGCAAATATCTTGAAGTGGAATGGACCGATTAGTGCAATATTTTGGAGGATGAAACACAAAATATATAGTTATCGATTGGTATCAATAAACTTTGTCCAGTCCTATTTTCTTTTTTTGCTCTTGGTTTACACTTTCCAGAAAATACCCAATGAAAAATTTTACTAAATATTTTTGTACTTTGCAGAGTAACGTTCATTAGTTAATACGGTAACCAACATCGTTACTGAAATGCAAAAGGTCGTAACTCATACATTTTTTATGCATAAAACGATGTGGGAAATTTAACTCGATGAAATGCATAGAATTTCAGGTGACGATATACGCCTAGTCGGCCTTAAATGTTCATCATTTGTAAAAATCTTAATGTTATTTTTGAAAATTGTTTTGAGATGGCGCGTTATGCCAGTAGTCTTGTTATCAGTCCTCTCGGCGATGTAAATTGGCCTCCTCGGAGTTTGGATTTGACGCCGGTAGACTTTTTTGTGGAGTTGTCTGAAGGACCGAGGTCATGCGAACAATCCATTAATGATTCAGGTCCTTAAGGGCATTGGTGAGACATGGCCAAAAACTGTCTCCAAGGTCTTGGAAAACTGGATTAACAGGATGCGCTACTGCGAAGCCAGCCGAGGCAACCAATAACAATATACCGAACAGAAAAGATTTCGGTAATTTTTTTTTTTTTTAAGAACCCACTATATGGAACACCATGTATGTATGTAGGTATGTAAGTAAATATATAAAAAGTTGTATCAATATTTGGACAACAGCCATATCTTTTCACTTTAATTTCGAAAAGTAAAATATAAAAACTAGCTCGTTCATCAAAAGTCGTTCAAAAAAGTCTTTTAAATGCGTCATTGAGAAGAACAAAAATGTAAATAAACGAAGACACAAAAAGGTATTCCTTTTTATTTTTAGAGTGCTAAATATCGCGTTTTGTTTTGATTTGCGTTAGCAAATGCATGTGAAAAGCCAAGTTGCATGTGATTCCGACGATGTAATTGACAATAAACAACAACGTCGGAATTGGCAAACAAGACAGCAAATTACATACATATGTATGTATATCGTCGTTTAAAGTACAAAACCGCTTATCAACAATGTCTATGTAGTAACATCGACTCTTCAACTCCATATTCTTAATTTTTAAGATACATCCAAATTTAGTTTAGTATTTTTTACAAGCAAACAACAACATAAATCGCCAAAAAATTACATATTTTTTCCGGAAAGCAAAAAATAAATAAAAACAAATTAAAGCAAAGTAATGGTATTAGTAATTTTTATTTTTAACTTTAGCCCCATTATTGTTTGCATGAGGGCATCATGCTTTAGTATACAGGCTATTCAAAATTGTGATATGTATGTACATAGATATCGACGCCTCCAAACCATACTATGCTAAAGAGCGTGTCAATATATATCGATGCAATATATTTTCGGCTGTCAAATTGAGAAAGCAGTTGCATGAGCAGTCACACCTTGCATGCGAAGTGTATTTCGAAGGAGGTTTTTTATTTCCGAAAGGCGAATTGCAGGAAAAATTTCTGAAATCGCTTTCTGGCTGTTCACACAGCGAATGAGTTTCTGGCAATCCTTCTCGATACTAAAATGCAACCATGGGCGGTGGTCTTGTCGTTTGTTTGCTATTTCTCTTGTAAAAGCGAGAACGAAAACACGAAAAATGAATACTCCACGTAAGCTGGTGTTGAAAAAGAAAGCAATTTTATTAAAAATTATTGCCGTTATTATTAAAAAAAAATAGAAGTGGATGATTCGCGTACTCGCCGATCTGTTTGTGTAAGAAAATTTTGGCGGCGCGGAGCAAACAACCCATACTACACAACGTTGAAGAATGATCACTACCCCATGGTGAAATTATAAATAGCTGGATACTCTTATAATTCAAGCCAGCACCAACAATGCTCGCAAATCCCACACTCAATCAAAACAACATAAGCCCAAAAAAAGCAAACCCCTAAAATATAGGTTATAATTAACATATTTTCCATGTGAACAATAATTTAAAGATTTAGTATATTAGGTAAAATAATATATTTCAAGCATTTTTGATATTTAGTTTAACAATATTTTTCATCATTTTACACAAATTTACGATATCAGTGCCACACGCCAACCTCGATTAGTTTGACAGCACTTGCAGAAGAAATAAAAACTGCTAGTGCAGCACGAGCAAGTTGAAATATATTTCGGAAATCGATTTTTGCTCTTTCAGTTGCAGTCAACCCTAGCAACTTTTATTGCTGAAACTGATTTCCGAAAAGTGACAGAAAGATCTCTTTGGCTGTTCACACATCGAAATAAAATTTCTCGTTCTTAATTTGACAGCGAATTGCGTGCGAAAGACGGAAATATTGCCACGTCTGACAGGCTCTTAAGTCTACCTAAGTGCAAGTTGACTCGTCATGGTATGGTTTGGAGGCATCGATATGCACATATAGTATGTTTGTTCGTGTTTACTTACCTAAAATAGGTTTTTTTTGTTCTAGCAACTCGCAATAACTATAGGCTAAGAGATTAACAGGTCGTTGGGGATTAAAATTAACACAATGGACTAGACGCTCGCAAGTTTTCATCAGAAAAGAACTAAATTCACCGGGATCGATGCCGTAATTGCGCCAACCGCCGACGCCGTCAGCTACACCTGTAATTCAGAAAAACAAAACACAAAATTCTGTTAGATTATATATATATGTATGTATGTATTGGGGCATTCAATCCCGAAGAATTTTAACTATTCCGGGATTTCGGTATTCAAAAATTCTACGACTTCATCACTACTTGTTGCATTTTACATTAGGTTCGCCTTTGTCAAACCACACAGATTCATTGTCACCACATTTGGTGTTAGGGAAGCATAATTCCCCTTAGTAAAAGAGTACGTAATTTGATGTTTAAGTAATTTTATTCTATTCTTGTTAAAAATATTTACTCATATTTGCAGAAATCCTTTCCCAACAAAAGGCCAACAAAGTAAAATGAAAAAGAATTCTGCCACACTGTAAAAGCTTGTGTTTTCAATTGCTATCAGAATTTTCGTTATGGCACAGTTCTTGCACAAAATATTTGAACAAGTACAGTTATCAGGCAGGTCCTGAAATTCACTTCCAAGTGCAAAGGGCTCAAGTTCACTTTGAATCCCAATTTTGGTGTTCTGTATTTGTCGTGTTTCGTGTCAAATTAATTATTTTTATCGTTTTCAACATCTCTTTCATTCTTTAAATTAATCAGTAAAAATATTGGGATCCCGGAGCTGTAATCCCGGGATTTCGGAACATGGAAATTGTTCGGGATCCCGGAATCCCAATTGGAAAAATGTGCTGTAGTCTGATGAGACAAAAAGTAGTGTTTGGATCAGATGGAAAATAGTACGTAAAACGTCCTACGAACACAGTTTGATCCACATTACACGAAAAAACGGTTAAGCACAGCAGGGGTTCCATTATAGTATAGGGCTGCTTCCCGAAGGAAGGAGTTGGTCCAATATTTTCTATGTAAACATATTACAGACGACAAGGCTCTCTGCAGGATAATGATCCTAAGCATGCATCGAAACGAGTAAAGTAGTGGTGTAAGAAGGAAACAGTGCAGGCTATGGAGTGGCCGCCTCAATTGCCAAACCTCAGCCCAATTGAGCACCTTTGGGCAGTGGTATTCTATTCCGAAGTGTTTGTGCAAACTTCGTCAACTCGATGCACCAAATATGCGACGGAGTTTCAATAAGATATTAAAAAAATAATATTTTTGTAAGAATTTTTGGGTCAAAGTTTAATATATAAAAGTTTTCAAATGGAGTTGCATACTTATTTTAAATTATGTGTACGACCAACTTTTTTTCTGGTGCAACCTAATGTACATACATAAACATCGCTCATTTACTTCAACCTCGTCATAATACAAAACACAAATTACCGCTACCTCTTCTTCTAGGTTGTGTAAAAATTTCACAGCTGTATCGTTTATGTACCAGTATACCACTAAAACGAAAATTGTAGATATACTTATGTATGTACATACTTATCACACACCGTCTTCAAAACAGGCATATCTCGAGATTTGACATTTTAGAAATTGTGCGCTAAAAATGTACACAAAGCCTTTATATACCCTTCAAAACCTTACAGCCGTTTTTATCTCGGGTGCTGCCAAGGCGAATTTATCCTTGGGTGCTGCTTTTGGAGTTGTCACTATTGAAGTAAATGAGCGATATGTATCTACATACGTTAGTGAAACTAGAGACATGTTTCTTTGATGAATTTCCCATACTTATTTACACATGTGAAACAAATGGTCACAGCGTCGTTGAAGTACCAAAGATCTTTAGCATCCTACCTACCTACTTCAGGATAAATATAAACGGGCAATTCATGCTGCACTAACATACATACATGCGCTCACTTGAAATCGCTCTTCTTAAAATTAAAGTTAAATTCCTACAAAATGTAATGCTGTTAGAGTCGAACTTGAAATTTTGAACAAAATAAGATTTTAATCTGGGTCATTTACATTATATCGCTCGTCGAATCTCCTAAATTCCAAAAGACTTGACTTTTTACTTACTTTAGCGCAACAACGTTATAAATGTATGTACATACATATGTATACATACATATCGAACCCTTAATTCACAGAGGCCCTAATCAACAATTTTTTTATTTTACGGGAGAAGCAAAAAACAATACAAAAAGAGTATTTTTCCATTGGAATTATAAAATCTATTATATTTTAAGACGTCCACCAAAATATTTCCGAAAAATTTTAAGATTTAAGTGAGCTGGACCGATTTGAAAATACCTCCAAAAATTGAGTTTTTCATGAATAAAAATAGTTTCTTAAAGATTTTTTTGAAAAAAATCTCCTCAAACGGTTTAAGGTTAAAAAAATTTGCATGAAAATATTTTTAAAAAATTTAAAAAAATTTAAGCGGAATCGTAATGATGAGATTTTTAATGCTGTTTTTTAACTTTTTTCAAAGATTGGTATAAGAAAAACTTGAATAACTGAACCTTAAGCTCTTCCGATTTAGACTTAAGAGGTGTCATAGGAAAGGTATTTTCTCACCCTTTTTATTTCTTTGATAACGAACTCATTAAAAGGATGAAAGGGAAAGGTAGGATGAACGAACGTCATTCAAAGTTGAATTAAGATGTGTTGGTATTTGAAAAAAAAAATTAGACACGAATGATTTTTTTTTTGACAGAAATAAAAACAGTGTGAAAATACCTTTCTATCGGGATCCCATAAGTCTAAATAAGAATAGTTCTGGCCCAGTTATTCAAGTTTTTTGTAAATCAATCTTTGAAAAAAGTATAAGAAAATACAGCATCAAAAATCTCATTCTTACGATTCCGTTGAAAAGATTTTTAAATATTTTTATGCAGATTTTTTAATCTTAATCTGTTTTGTCATCTGATGGGACTTTTTTCAAAAAGTTCTTTAAGAAACTATTTTTATTCATAAAAACCTCCATGTTTGGAGGTATTTTCAAATCGGTCCAGCTCACTTAAATCTTAATATTTTTCCGAAATATTATGGCGGACGTCTTAAAATATTATAAATTTTGTAATCCTGGCGGAAAACCCGCAACTTTTTTTGGTGATCCAGTCTAATGTACATATGTATGTATGTAATCAAAACTACAATATTTATTTTCTAACAAATTAAAGCCTAGGTGCAATAGCATACCAAACACAAGTGTAAGAACATACATCGATATAGACGACTTCATGTGGTGACGTACATTGTAAGCTCGGTTTAACTGGAGCCAGACAGATAACAGACAAGCGAACATGCGTTTGGACGTCAGTGTTTAATCGACACTAACACAACAGGTACAAAGTGCACAAAT